TTCAATCTTGAACAACATTAATTTATACTTCCTTCGTTTTTTTGTAGTTGACATGTATTCCTTTTTAGGAAAGTTCTTTTAGTTGACATGTTTCTCTTTTTAGTAAGTTTCAAAATGTCTAATTCCTATTTTACCCTTAAATAATTTTAGATTGGTGTACAGTTTTGTGGGTAAGGGGTGTTATTGTATTGTAGCATCATTTGACACAGCTCCTTTAAATGTTTACCTAAATGTAGTGTGAACTTATAAGAATTGGAGGAATTATTACACAAAGAACTACCGTGCCAGACTTCTAGTATTTACCCTCTCCACCTCCTTGGGGTCTTTGGTATTTTCTTACCATACCACTCTCCATCAGTGAAAAAGTGTTTTTTTTTTTATCACAGTACTAACTTTTTCTGGATGATTATGGAGGTCTTATATCCTGTTTTCCATGTTGTTTGGTAGTTGTTTGAATTGACAAGATATAATGAATTGAAGCGTACTGCATTAGTTATTAAGAATGGATGCTTGAAATTTTACTACGTAGTTTGTGTTATCTTCCATCCAGCGAGTCATCTAACTTATTTCTCTAGCTAAGAAGAAAAAAAGAGAGAGTCTTCTTCAACTGGAGTAAATGTTTGCATGTTGTTCAGATTGTGGTAGGCTGTAAGCAATGAATTAAGATTGAGGTGTCAAACCTTTGTGTTGACGTGAACTTTCGGGATTATATGTGAAAATTGTATCTAGAATGACTTGTAAAGTGGAAACTTGTCTACACCTAAATTTTTTATCCTTATGGGATTATCCAAAAAAATTATAGATAGAGGCGATAATTAGTTCTCAATCTTTTCCTTAAGCTTGGTACTAAAATTGATGATGAAAGAATTTGATTTACCTGAATCCCTGTGCCCTGAAAACTAGAAATTAAAAGATGTGTATTGTGGTTCCTTCTTCATGAAAGGTTTAACCAATGTGTCTTCTCAACATCTGCTTTAAAGTTTGTATTGTTTTTACTGTTACCTTGGACTGGATCTCTATTGGGTTGTTGTAATCTTGCTGAATCCTTCTCTTGTCGCTATCTAAGATGTTTCTGCTGTTTACAACAAATAATTTAGCTTCTGACAACTCTGAATGCTACAACTTGCAGGACTTCTTTGAGGATGTGGGACCACTTCAGAGCATGCAGTTGGGAAGTAAAACATTAGAAGGTGTTTATCAGGTATTTAACTCGTATGTAAATATGCTTATAAAAGCACTGCCAAACTCCCTAGAAGAAGAAGCAAATTTTGAAGGATCTGGAAGTAAAATTGTTAGAATGGCTGAGAATGAAGCCCAGCAAATTGCTTTACTTGCAAATGCATCACTATTAGCCGATGAGCTACTTCCTCGTGCTGCCATGAAATTTTCTCAAAATAATCAATCTGATTATGATAAGCAAAATCGCCATCCTGAGCTCAGAGAATGGAAGAGAAGACTTGTAAGTTTAGTTGATAGGCTAAAAAATAGTTTCTGTCAGTTCCATGCTCTGGATCTTATTTTTACAGAAGAGGGTGACAGCAATCTTACTGCTGATATGTACTTGAGTATGGATGGAAGTGCAGAAGATATAGAATGGTTTCCGTCTCCAATATTCCGGGTAATTTTATTTTTTTTTTTCTTTCAATTGCAGCTGTCTTGTGGCTCCTGTTTATGTTTCATATATCTGATGTTACAGACACAACGGTAATTCAATGTGCCTCTTTATCTTCTTATTTCTCCATTCGTCTGATAGTGTTTGGGGACTGTGTTCTTAGGTTTTTGACAAGTGTTTTAGTGTTTGGGGACTGTGTTCTTAGGTTTTTGACAAGTGTTTTAGTGGCCACATGTCATAGGCATTTTGGTTGCTACGTGTTATGAAATGCTTAAAGATTCTTTAAAGATTCTTTTATTCATATTTTTGTATAAGTTTCGCTAAAGCAACATAACCTCTCCCACCCCTTCTCTTAGGATTCTTCTTATTATGCTAGTGATAATTGTGTTTGTGGAATAAGATTGCCGATAACCTGGTGTGGTCAACATTTATTGGTGATAACGAAAGTAGAGAACATGACTGGATTCAATTGTCTGCATTTGGTGCTACAATTGTACAAATGCAATCATGATGTATATACCCCTTCTACCTGAATATGACGATTGACCTACAAGGTTCAATATATTTTATCTGCCACAAATATATTACTAAAAAGTATTAATATCAGTAGCTTATCACTTTTTACAGAAAACCTTTTCATTGCCAAATTTGTATGCATATAATGTGGAACATTTTCTTATTTGTAAAGTAGTCCGGAGTCTTCCATCTTGGCACCTTTTTCTTTCGATGTATCTAATATGGTTCATTCAGAAGCACCTTTTTAGGAAGTTGATGTTGTTTGTCTGAACATACATTCTACATTTCCAGATGAATTGGTTATCTGCATTTGCATCTTGTAAGTTGTCAATTGATGTTGCCCTTTAGCTTCTAATCTAGTACATGAGTCTAGATTTTATCTGTTGAGTTGTACGAATGGTTTTGAATAATTGTGATATCGCTTGCTATTTTATTGCTTTGGGGCCACAAGCCAAAAGGAATTTTAAAGAGTGATTTGGCAAAGCTTGTTTGCATTTAATTAGCTTTTCTGTGGAAAATTTTAAACAAGAGATGTGTTAATTTTACTTACCCTGATTTAAATGTTTTATAGGAACTTTTCTTCAAACTCAATAATATGGCTAGTATTGCGGCGGAGATGTTTGCGGGCAAAGAAAGATTTGCTACATTGCTGATGATGAAACTAACTGAGACTGTCATCTTATGGTTTTCTCAAGACCAGAGCTTCTGGGATGATATTGAGGATGGTCCTAAGCCTTTAGGCCCTCTTGCCCTTCAACAGGTACAGAAGCTCAATTCTGAAGCTTCTTCCCTTTAAGATCTCGTGTTCTCATCTTTCTAATGTCTCGAATCGAATTATATCCTGAAATATTACCACAGTAGGCTTGGTATCCTTTTGCTGCCTTTTGAAAGATCTTGTTAAATCTGTAATATGATATTTGTTCTGGGACAAGGAGAGTTGCTTCTCACTTGTTTTTATTTTCTTTGTAAAGTTTTTAATTTAGTTGTCTTATGCCTTCTGCAACTTTTATTCCCTTTGTTTTCAGAAGATAAACGTGACATATTTTCCCTTTGAACATTGCAGCTCTACTTGGATATGAAATTTGTCATCTGCTTTGCTTCCCAAGGTCGTTACTTGTCTCGTAATTTAGTCCGTGTTATCAATGAGATAATATCCAAAGCTATAGCAGCCTTTCAAGCAACTGGCAGAGATCCATATAGGTAAGTTCTTTGTGATGACTTTTTTATGTTTTGGTGTTTTCAGTCTCTTTACCTACCCTATGTATCCTGTCCCTCTTGCTAAAAGAAATAGGCAGATAGATATTTACTTTCTAAACCACTAGCTTGTGCATCTACCTCTGAGTCCCAATCGCTTTATTTGTTAGACATGTCAATTCAGTAACATTGATTTATTTATATTCCTCTTAATTATTATGTTCAGTGTACTGCCTGAAGACAATTGGTTTAATGACATCTGTCAAGATGCAATTGAGCTACTGAGTGGGAAGCCGCGAGAAATCAATGGAGAACGCGATCTGAATAGCCCAACTGCTTCTGTCTCTGCTCAGTCTGTTTCATCGTTCAGATCTCATGGGAGTTCTTAGCAGCAGAATGTTGCTCATTTGTACATTAGACTTGAAATGGGAGCTTCCAAACTTTACCAGCAAATATTTGTTCATAGTATGGTTGAAAATCTTGTGTCCCCCCTTTCCTTCTCATTTTTTTTCCACATTATTTTGGCATGATGACTCGTAATTTTGTAGATCAATACCCACAGTAGCCTCCAGGTTAGAATTTCTGTCTTCTGGAAACATGTAATTACATGCAATTTGATTATAAATCTAGTCCTATTCTTTTAATGCATTTTTTAAATGAAAGGTACACTTCGTCTGTTTCCAACAATATGTTTGTAATCTTTAGTGTACTAACTCAAGTTGCACGAGACCTTGGCACCTTGTAAGGCTGACTCCAAAAACGAACACAATCCACGGGCAATATGCCGCAATAATCAGCCAATTGTTCTCATCTTCGGCAAATCTTTTTACAATCATCCAATCATCTTTTGTAGATCTTAGTTCCATCTGTTCCATTATTTTGAAACTCTTTCATCTATTTATATTTGAAAGCTCAATATTGCTCTTCACTAGGTGGTTAGCACAAGGCTGGTAGCATATCTTAATTTACTACTTATTAGTCAGAAAGTGCAAATTTGTCTACTCTTTAGGTTTAGAGTAATAACTGGGCATTTGAATTGAACTTTGACACTAATTTTCTTTTAAAGAACTTGTCTTTATATGTAACAGATCTTATTCTAGGATTATATGCAAGAAATCCAAAAGACACAACATACAGATTAGGGAGTGGGGGGTAGTCATTAGTTTGATCCCCAGCCAACACGGGGACGTGCATAATACGCTCTGGCAGGCCAATCTGTAGCTAGATATATAATTTCCATTACTTCTTAAGCCTTGAAAACCAGTCCAACCAAGCTTGGCTTTTGGATGACATTACATAACTTGTGTTATTGTGTTACTGCTAACTGGTAGGCCTAGTAGCATTTGATTCATCTTTGATATGAGGTAGGATTATAAACCACCGTTATACTTAGTATTATATCCAACCATTTTTTTTTAGCTAACTATGGTATTAGCCTATTAGGGATTAGGCTAGTCCAAACCCATACCAAATACACAGTGCCAAATTGTGTTAAACTGTCAAAGGTTATTGTACCAATCCTAGTCCGACTATGATTTAAAAGTAATTTAAAAAATAGTCCCTAAATTGTTAATTTATTGCCTTAATCTGATTTATTGTAATTTTACAAATGCTGTTGAAAAAACGCTATTAACCTGGTTTTGGTGGAAGAAACTTGGGGTAAGGGATGAGCACAATGTTAATAATAAATGCATCTGCATTTCTTTAAAAGGGAAAGAAAGAATAAATTATGAAATTGTACAGGTTGATGAAAAAAACTAGCCTCGACTCCGCAAGTGGTTTATTAGCCAACATCACTGGAACTTCAATTGTTTGCAATGATGATGAAGGCCATGGGAGAGAGAATCTTTGACTATATGGAATTCTAAGACAACTCTACTCGAAAAACTAGAAGAGTACTTATGAAACAGTATTCTCGGCCCCAAAAGGTGTAAAATGAGACGAATATAATGCCCTATGAATCAGTATCTTTGAATATAAGAGTACAGAACTGATTTCGACCAAGAAAACAGAACAAAAAAATCCATCCTCCAAAACTGGATATTGCTCCTAGTAGTAAACTTTGAAAGTTGGAATTGGACCTCCATGTTTTACTCCCCAACTGTAAAACCAAAACCAAATTTGTAATCTTTCTTCTTGTGATCGAGCTGCAAGAAAGTAGGTCACAGTCAAAAACCTTGCAAGAGGGTCAAGCTAAAAAATGCATCTCCCGAATTTTAGTGCGACTAAATAGATGAAATGGAGTTGAAAATCCAAAGCACTTCGATAGAAAGCACCCGATCACAGAAAATCTAATGCTTCATACAAATATGTAGTCACATGCTAAAACCGTTCCTTTTTTCACATCTATGGTGAAGATACACAAAATTAGGAGAATAGAAGAGTGTGTGGGTAGTGTAAGAAATAAGTAGGCAACAGAGTATTGTAAAGTAGTGATTATGTAAGAAAAAGTAGAAAAGAAAGTGCTGAAAGTAGAGTTTGTGTCAAAACATAAGAGAGTGTTGCTAGTGGGGTAGAATGGGAAAAAAAATCCCAAAATAGGAATAAGTGACCAAACAAATAGGAACAGATATAGCATACTATTTTTAATTCCAGAAAAATTCACACATTTCCTGGAGTATTAACAGATTATAATTATACTTCGAACATACTACAACTACTGTTCAAATAGGAACAGATATAGCATACTATTTTGATTCCAGAAAAATTCACACATTCCCTGGAGTATTAACAGATTATGATTATACTTCGAAACATACTACAACTACTGTTCAAATTGAGGAGGAAATTATTATGAAGAGTATATTAGTGAAGTTTTGGTGAAACCTTAATCATAGGGGGGTGGGAAAATTATTAGTTCCAATGGGAGGTAAAAAGTTCAAAGCAGTGGCAGTATTTCCTTGTAATTCAAAACCACACAGATAACAATGACACTAAGTTTTCCAAACCATTCTGAAGGACATCGGTTTCAACTTAAAACAGATTTACCAAGGATGCAGACCTAACATGTGATAATCTGGCATTTAAATTTAAGATCTCACCTCTGCAGAAAGTAAAAAGGTTAGACCCAGATTGAGTCTCTCCTCAAGAAAACCAGTAACACAACCGTTGGAGTCTATCTTCCCTCTAACACGTGCCTGCAGAGAAAATATAGCAAAATATGTAGTAAGTTATACCTTCCAGTTCAGAATTAACACGGATTAACAAGATAAATTACAATCCTTGTAGTTATTATTATCATAATCTCGAATGTCTTTAACAAAGATCAAGCCTAGGACAATGAGCTGAGAGGGTTCGAACATACAAAAGCATTTACAGTGTGATCAAACAGTTTTTTGCCACTATAATTTACAGTTCAGCTAGTTGTTTGATTTTGGCTATTATACGCTAATGGCACTAAATAGCTAGTTCGAAATCTTTTCTATAAATCCTTTCTAAAAAACACACCTAATAAAGGGGCAATGCAAACACATTTTATTTTAGCTTACATCCATAAAAATTAGTTATAGCAAAGCAAAGGAAGAATACACTTGTCTTCAAATATCTCACTCAGATTTATTTTTTTTTGTTTAAAGAAGCTTCCCATTAATTTTGTCATTAATCCATATAAGTGTTTACACACATCATACTTTTAGTCAATGATAAAATGAGTCAAAACCCTCTATTATATTCACAGTCAGCTTGATGGCTTGACTGCTTCTCTATTCTTAAGGGAATATCTATTCATTCTGTGTCATTTGTTTTTTACCTTCTGCTTTTGTATTAAAGTCTGCCAGTATCTCCTAAGACACATCTTTAACCTTTTCTCTTTAGCCATACCTGATGGCAATCTTCTACATAGATTTATACTAATATGTATCAACAAAAAATCCTTCAATACTTCATTTAATAAGGGCATTAGGGGAGATAATATAATTTATGACTACGTATTATTTCCGATATCTATAAACGAGAATCAATGTATTAAATTAAACTATGGCATGCATGAAGAAGGTTTATGGTGATTGGATCCTACTCTGATCTTACACAGTGATCAGCTGCTTCATCAATACAATGTGTAGCTCTTCTATAATGAAATGACATTCAATTAGTGGTCACAAGAACAAGACACCAAAAGAACAGTGACAACAATTAAGACCACAAGGCTCTAGCTTCTACTCTGTACGATAGAAGTTTGAGGATAGTTAACTATAAATGTTTATACAGATTCCCACTAATTTCATTAATGAAACAAAACAATCTGTAATCAGATCAATGGCAAAGTCCAATAACAGGAAAAAGAACGAGAACTTTATGTGTTGATGATAACGTATGTAATGCATTTTTGTTCAGATAATGCTATTGGAGAAGCACTAGATCAAGACACTGAGATTATAATATTACCTGGCGTAGCACTGCATCATAACCTACTGTAGCTGTAACATCCTTTGACATATGGTTGTATGAAAATTCAGTTGCAAAAGAAAGCTGTATCATACAAATGGCGTCAGGCTTCAAAAACTTGTTATAAGTGTCTCTAAAGATGACACAACAGCTGGACCAAATTTCTTACCTTTTCGGATACCTTCTGGACATAACTAAGTGCAACCATTCCTGTGCTAGCCACTTGTCCAGTAGCAACCTGAATGGTAGGAAAAAAACATTAGCTCTAATACATCATGTACAGTCGATTCTTAATGAAGGTGATAGGTACACTGTATCTGCAAATTGACAGGAATGAAGATAGGAACAGAAAAGGCCCACCGAGGACATAAACAAGCAAACTCTGTTCTTACAGTGCAGACTCATGTGGCAAATTTTACATCCAATTTTTACAGCCACCTTAATTTTAATATGTTGTATTAAAATGTGTGCACCAACAAAAGGTCCATTAATAGATGGAAAACCTGAAATTGTCCCACAATCCCTCCCCCCCCCCCCAGGTCTGAGGCCCTGGCTATCCTACTATTTAGTGCAACTTTTTTCCAATCAATAATTATTACTACGTATTAAAGAGTGTTCACAATTACATGTTTGTTACCTATGTTAACCTAACATTTAGAGTACCCATCGGACATGGGTAAAATGTAAGTGTCAAAACTTGACTATCCTATTCTGTTCACCTTATTTCTACTTATTTCATGGTTAACAAGTTCAGATAAGATAAGTTCAGATAAGTTGTGATAAGGGTTAATAAGGGTCACCCCAAGTTTAATTTATAATTTAAATAAGTTCTAATAAGTTTAGATAAGTTCACATAAGTTAAGATAAGTTAAGATAAGATCATATAAGTTCAGATAAATTCATATTATAAAATCAGGTGAATAGAATGCACCCTATATTTACACCTAAAACGATAATCAAAAATAGAAAATTCATGCTATTTGGTCCAAAATCAAGTGTCATGTGTAATACAGCTACAGTGATATCCAAGTTTTTGAGGATTGGAGTATATGTCATGATAACGGAAGGGGAAATACAAACTCCTAGAAACATTATTTGTCATAAGCCATTTTTCTTTTTCTTTTTCTTCTTTTTTTTAATGCAAAATCTTATGCTCATCTCTAGGTTGGACAATAGCTCTATCTTCGCAAACACGCTTGCCAATCTAACCAAAAAAAAAATCAAACGGAACAGCACATTACATAAACTTGGAAGTTGGACCTCTTAGACAATAAAAGTTTATGGACAAATTCATCATATGCAGACTCCTGAATATGAGAGTAACATACTTCCTGAATCCCAACTTAAGTTATGAGAATTCTATGTGGATTTGAACATAACTGAAGAGGTTGAAGGCAAGGTGGAGTACCAAAACATAAATTCATAACATAGACCCAAAAGTTTTATGGCCAAGATACAAAACTGAACATGTAAAAATTCATGAAAGTCAAAGTCAAATTACCGTCTTGTCATTATTGTATCGAGCAGCATAACCAACACCAGATTTTCTATGCTGACCAGTCCAGAAAATTTCACCACCTAGAGAGATATTTGGGGTCACACTCTGCATCCCACCAGTCGAAGGAAAAGAAATTATCAAAATACCACTTCACCCATATAAATAATTTTAAAAGAGAAGAAAAAAATTGTTAAGCAAAGTAAAGGTAAATGCACGACTCAAGCAGCAAACACTTTGATACAACAGATAAATCCAATTTTGAAACATGATATCAATTCAGTACAGAGGACAAGAATATTGCAAGTATGTTTATTACAGCTCAACTTATTTACCTGTATGTAATTTGCCCCAATAAGTGTACCACTGCCTAGTTGAAGCTGAGCCCTGTAATCATTTCCCTGCCATTGAAAATCATGTCCAGAAAACAAAGAAATGAGCATTATTCATGGCATACATGATAGAAACTTATTCAAATTGCTTAGCTCAAAGTTAGCAATAAGAATTGAAAACCAAAAGTAGAGAAGAATCAATATCCTGCACATTTAGCTTCAATTTCACATGAATATAGGACAGAATATGATTCAAATAGAGGAAGTGACTGCCACAGAAGACAAATGGCCTGTTATGTGTAATGTGGGAGGTAAAAGAAAATTGTGGATCAATATGAGGGCTTCATGGAAATGCAATCAAGCACAAATACACTGTCAACAAAAGATACTTGCCTAAAAGAGCTTGTTATGTTGTAAATACCCAGACAAACAATCTCTCTGAAAAATAGCATGCACAAATAGGCTTCATAGTATCAAATTGCTTTCCCAAAGAAGATCCATATGGTATATTGTAGGGAAAACCTTTTTCCTATAGAGGATAGGTTGATATATCTATTACTACATAGTAAAATAAATTTGGAAAGTATATAGGCCTTACCTTGTAATCAAAAGTACCCATCCCTTGAGACTGGTGAGGCTCGCTTGACAGCTGGAAAAAGATTACCAAACCTTATTCATCAATCTCAAAAACTTATCAGCTGTCCATATGAAGGTTTATGGGAACCATATACTAGAATAACATAATATGGAAAATTACCATAGCATTTCCCTTCAAAGTTAAATTATCTGTCAAATCACACTTAAGCCTTGCATTTAGTCTACCGTCGTGTGAAACCCTTCCAATAAGCATCAACTGTAAGAAACCATCAATTAAACAAGTTATTGCAAGGGCATAAAAGAAGACATTGGTGCTAAATCATATATTCCATCCTCTTAAACCTTTATGATTGATTTTAGCTAACCTTTGGGTCTAGAAAGTTAGCACCAAACTCGTAGTTGGCAGTCGGGATTTTAATAGGCTCTGGGTTTTGAGAGGGAACTTCTATCGGCCCCATCGTCACACTGCAAAAAAAAGTAACAAGCAAGACATTAAACCGCCGGAGTTGTAACAACCTAAGAAACCTATCAGCACTAGCAGAGGGGCATTGATAAAAGTAAGCATAACAGAAAACCAGCTTGAAGTACCAGTGACTAAGAAAAAATTTCGGGCTAAGGGCTTTAGTAAAGTCAAAGCGCATCCCTTCAAAGACTTCTGGCTTCAGAGACACTGTAAACAACCAAAGAACACAAATTTATGATTGTTAGCCAACCAGCTCCTTCACCGCATATCAATTACAACACTGAATCTCTAAACACATTGAACATCAAGCAACTACACTGTCTCAATCAATCATCATTAACTCGATTCGCCAATATGGGAGATCAGCAATAAGATTCAACCCGCATTCAAAATTAGAAGATAATCATATAATAAACACCCAATTCAGCTGAAGAACAAGTATCAAATTACAATGAGCACAACATACAGTGAAATCAAACAAACACCCACACTCCTACTAAAATTGAACAACAATGTCAAAACAAGATTCAAAATCCTGACTAACATTCTTAATACAATACTTCATTAGTTAATGTATTCTAAAACACCCAGAGAAATCCCAGAAAAACCCAGAAATAATACATCATCAAAAAAACGAAAAATTATAATTACCCAGTAAAATTAACCTAATAATGAAATTAAAAAACAAAACTAGGGCTCATTGAAATGGGTAAGTCGAGAATACAAACTCAAAGATTCACGATGAATTTCTTCATAAGGCAGAGGACAAGGGAGATTGCCATAATCAACAACTTCTTCAGTCTTAGGAAGTTCAGTAGGATTGGCCGCCATTGCTGGACCTGTTGGAGGAACTCCTGCCATTTCTAGTATAATGAAATCAAATCTTCACAATATTATTCCTGATTAATTCAAATTTATTGTTGAATCAACAAATCAGCAATCAAAAACTCCTCTATCTCCTCTCTATGAAATAGAGATCAAAACATGGGTCGTAGAAGAGGGTTCAGGGAAGAGAGAGAAAGAGAGAGAAGATTGGGAAGAAAGAAAAAGGGTTATGGAGACGAAGAAGGGCTTTAGGAGGGTTTTGGGTCTCATTTTTCAGGGTTCGGGTTGATCCAATGATTCGGGCTATTCATTTTGTGGGTCGAATTACCATTTTTGCATATACACTATACTTCTTCCATTTCTTTTTAGTTGACACGTTTCTTTAGTCACGTTTGTCAATGCACATATTCAACCGTTATTCACTTTAATTACCGATTTTTTAAAAAATTTAAAGGTTGATATTTTGAAAATATACCTCGTGACGAATCTAACAAGACTCCACACGATTATATTTTTCATTACGTTTAAATCACAAAATACGGTCAAAGGAAAGTGTGTGAATAGTGCTAAAGTCAAAGTGTGTCAACTAAAAAAACGGAGGTAATAAAATTTAACTTTTTTTCATCATTTTTCATGAGACATTTTGATTTTTAACTTCATGAATAAAATACGTTAATTACAAATTATGATAAATGCTTGGTCGTATTGTGTAGTAAGCCATAATAGGAGTTACTGGTACTTTGTCAGTGTTATAGCCTATAAGGGTTACCAAGTCAGTGTTGAGTGAATACTTCGTTAGTTTTATGTAAGTTAGTCGATTAGTGTTACATGGGTTACTCAATCAATGTTTTAGAGGTTAGTTTGTTCTTTTACTAATAGTATGTAACACCCTAGAAATTCCTTTCCTTTAAATACACACTTTACTCTTTTTAAAATACGTTTTAGGAATATCTAAGACATTACCGCCACCGTGAAAATGGCTAAGGCAACTATCAAAGATACACAGCGGAAGACTTGAAAACCAAAACTATTTAAATAATACAATTTAAAAACCAAACCAACGAAAGTAAAGTTGAAAATCAACAAAACCAAAGTCAAATAAAATCCACTACAACTTGGAACCATTGAAGACCCTTATTCAAAACCGAAATAACCAAACTTTTGCGTTAGTCCATAAAGTAATATAATAAAATATTCAATGCATAAAACACATCATATCCTAATGGAAGCTAGCATGATTCTCTCTTCACTCATGCCCCGTCAAGAACATGCTTCAATACCTGAAAACTGTATCTCTACTTGCCCCCACTACTCTCCATTAAAATGGATCATCATAGGGCCAAGATAAAGACATGGTCAGACACAAACAACACATACAATCAGCAAAGCTGAGTACATAAGCGTAATTAAACACACTAACATGCATTCTCCTATCATCATACACACTTACCTCATTGCACATGTTTACAAGCACACACAACAATCAACAAGACACTCTAACTAGACACTAAATAATTCATTTTACGTTGATTACGCATCGAACGGGTTTCCAACTATACCTATCCCAATAAATTGGGGTTAACTGACACGGGAGCTAACCGTGCCAGCAACAAACCTGTGCCACACATAGGTGGCGGAATTCTAGCGCATAATAATAAAAAGGAATATACAGCGTCCTGTACTCCGTTAGAAGTTATGATCAAATGTAAAGTCACATAACTCCCCTCATATGTTCATACTCAAGGTATATACATTCCAAGAGTTTTGGTGCGTAATCTCTTTCACTTTACGTTATTTACATATTATTAGGGTTGGTGATGACCCTCAAAGCATAACAATTCAATCATCAATAATAACTCAATCACTCAAACATACCAATTTAATTCTTGAATATTTAGTGACCACATAATATTTAATGTTGAACCCTTTTTAATTCTACCTCAGTGTCAAAGACACCTTAAACGCATAAAGCGCCAAAAATCCTATTCCTCGGTGTTAAAAACACCTTAAGTGCATAAAGGCACCAACATACAATTTATTCCTTGTGTACATAGACACTTATATAGCTCCTTTCTCATGCTTAAAGCATCAATAAAAATTATATGAACCATAATAAAATTTCTTTTCAATATTCCAAACATAATTAAACAATTAGTTTAATTAAACATGCTCTCTATCATGCCATAAATAAATATGTAGTCCATATAATCATGCCAAAAATATAATTTTCCAATCCATAAACCATCACAAATAATTCATGCTTCACAATTCAATCACCAACACCAATAATTCACAATTCAATACATAAACCTTAGCATGATACTACTTGTAATTGATTGAAATTAAACCTAGCATGATTCTACATCATAAAAATATGCTAAGTACGCGAACGTACATTGAATACGATCTTAAAATCGTCACGACTAGTAAAAATTGCTCACTTCGAAGTCTCCTACACATTAAAATTATAATAGAGCATTAAAACCCACTCTAAACAAATTTCCAGCAATATATACTATTCTAAAACCCCTCTTAAAATAATTAGAATAAGCTGAAATTATAATTAAAACACCCTAATTAAGTCCCACTTAATGGGTAATTTAAATTTCCTTCAAAAGCATAATATTAAGTGCTCTACATAAAATTCCAGCACTTTATTTCTAATTAAAACTTGCTGTAATTTAGTCTTAAAACACTTAAATTGAAGATCTAAACATTAATACCTCATATACTTTCATAATTTTCATAAATCAAGGACCTAGGGTTTCAAAAATTGGGGCTTTTTAATTAAAAACCAAATCTGAAAATTAATTCATACAATTACAATTATCAAACATCAAAATTAAACCCCCAAACTCATAATTTATATTTAGATCCAAGAATAGATTAAATTAAAACAAGAAAGCTTAGTTTTTTTTTTTATTTTTTTTATACATAGTTCGAAAAAGGGGGAAAAAGGGGAGGAAGAACGGCAGCCACCACCGGCTGCCGGCTGCCTGCTGCCGGCGGCCAGCAGCTGCCGGTGGCTGGCAGCGGTGGTGAGGGAGGAAGGCAGCCGAAAAAAAAATAAGGGGAAGGGGAAAAAAGAAAAAGAAAGAAAAATAAGGAGGAGAGAGAGAGAGAGAAGTTTACCTTGGGTTTTCTCCACTCTAGGCAAAGTTTGATTTGCCTCATAAGTGGGATATTTATACCCCTTCTCTACTAACCCTCTTCCAGGTTTTCCTAATTCCTTCCCTAATAAACTTGTTGAAAAATTAAACTTTCCTAAAATAAAACCCGAACTTTTAAATACAATAATTAAATAAACTTTCCTTTAATAATAATATTAATTAAAATACTTTAATTAAAATAATTACAACTATTTAAATACTTTATAAAATACATACTTTAAATAAAATACGTATAAAATACGGGGTATTACATAGTAACACAATGTGGTAAGCCGCACACAAAGCGTGATGTATATAAATAGGCGCGAAAATGTTTTTTAACATTTAATAAATAAAAACTTTTAAATTAGCACTATAACATATTTTAAAAATTGATTTTACCACAATTAAACCGTTTTCATGTAAAATTCCATGAAGTGGGGTCCATATACCACAGTGCCACGTGTTACCATGTTACTAGTTGAATAAACTTAGGAAAAAAAATAAAGATCGTAAAACTAACCCGACCATCTCATCACCACCGCCACCCATTCCCCACCTAACTTGGGCGACCACCGGCCTGCCACTGCTGCCTGACCTTTGGCACACCCCCTCCTATCAAAATCGATGCCGAGGAAAGGTGGTGGGTCGTCTTGAGGGGGATGAGGTGGGCCGCCGGTTAGGGTGGGGGTGGTGGTCGTCGCCGGTCAGGGTGGTGGTGTTAAGGTGTTAGTGATTAGTAGCAAGAGGAAAAATAGTGGTGAAATAATAAGAGCATAATTATCCATTCATACAAAATATTGGCAGTTTTAATCATTTTTTATGACGGTTTTTTCGTTTTTAAAACCCCTTTGGGTAATTTCCTAATCTATATCTATCTATATATTATACTAAAAGACAAGCGTCTCAATGTGAGGATGACAAATGTTACTCTCTCATTGGCTTATCTTATGTATAAAATATATCTATATAATTACTGTTTACATATTCAAGCATAATTATTTTTGTAAAACTTCAAACAATAAAAACAAGTTTCTATACATGCATAAGATTTTCATGATTTCCTAACATAAATATTGATTTAATTTTTTTTATAACAAATATATATTTTCCAGTGCTACAAATAATCCATAAAGTCTTTCCAATCTTTATTTATAGTCAAGTTAAAGAATAATAATTAATTTGAAGCAATATAATTAAAGTGGCATAATTAAGGAAACAAATATTTCGTTTGTTGTACTCCTTGACAAATACTGAATGCTGAGCTGAAATGTTGTCTTGGAAAAAAAATACATAATCTTGAACATAAATTTAATTTTAATCGGCCTTTCATTTTCTATACAATGTCTTTTACAATGACCTTTTGTTTTTCTTGCATGAAAAAAAAACTGAACCAATAACCAATCTAAACAAGAAAAATAAAAGTTAAATTGAATAAGACATTTGACGAAAAAGGGATAGATATAAACTATATTATAACTATTACTCGTGTTTTAAATTGTAATATTCGTATTAACATTGCTATTACTTATGATTTTTTTTTTTTAGAAAAACTAACATTTTGATTTAAAAATCGTGCATTGCTCATGTACTATACTAGATATACAACAATCATGTGAAATAATTTATGTTGTTTTATACATAATAATACTTTTAACTATAATAGTATGTGTATATAATATAATATTTTTTATAATATAAAAAAGTATATTTATATAATATAATATTTTATGACACCTGTCCTCCATACCAAGTGTAATCTCAATCACCACTACACCAACAACCAATAGGTGTAGTCTCAATCACCACTACACCAACAACCAATTGGACCAATTGGTGTAGTGGTGATTGAAACTACACTAGGTAGAGAAGACTTGTGTTCGCTCCCCTGCAACAACAATCGGAAGGGGAATGAAACCTAATAACCTAGAACTGATCCTCAAATCTGGATTAGCACAAAGGGTGAACCGGATAGAACACCCAAAACTCAATGCATATATGATGGGAATTAACTTATCCTTTATCTATCTTATACAAAACTCCAAAATCTATTTTTTTTTTCAAAATATAATAATAACATTTGTAA